GGGGAGGGGGGGGGGGGGGGGGGGGAGGGGGGGGGGGGGGGGGGGGGGGGGGGGGGGGAGATGGTTGAAAACTAGTTCTTTTGGTTATCCTCTTTGAAAATCCTCCTAAAAAGTTCACGTTTCCTTTTTGTTTCGCAACTGTTACTTTTGCAAGGGAAGAGCTAAAAATAATGGTCGACGTCGAAAAATTAATATAAATTGGGCGACGTATATATAAAGGTGACACCATGCCCGGTCGACAGCCGGCCCTGAACTGAGTATTTTTGTACGAACAAGGAATAAAGAAAATCACATATCACCGAAAAGGATAATTAATTAATAAAAATAGTTTTCACGCGAATTTACATTGTAATCGAATGAAGTAGATTCTATTTGGTCTGTTCTTAGTGGGCCTTTTAGGCCTGTCCTACTACATTATTTAATTACATCGCATTATTTTATTATTTTTATTTCATTATTTCATGCTACTATTATTATTTAATGCTAAATACAGGGTGGTTTAATTAAATGGTAGCCACGGAAAGTAACACTTTTTGCGAATGCAGAAAGTATCGTCTCGTTAAGTCTTGTATTATATATACATATAATAATAATAACCACACATATATATATTGAAACAATTTAAATATTTCATATTATTTAACGCTTATTTAAATATTATTAAATACACAATATCATTTAATTTCATTAAATATTATTTAATACATTATTTAACGCGTCGAATATTTAACAACATCAATTACGGGACAAGCAGGCACGTCTCGCCGAACACGAAAGTTTCCACGAAAAAGTACGCGCGAGCGCGTAAATGTCGGCGAGAGAGCACGGCGTATCTCCGGTTCGATTTCGGGAGCCATTTGTCCGCGCATTCGCAGCATGGACCGAAGCCAACACGAGTTTTCTCGCTAGCAAACCGCCTAGCGAGACCAGCGGCGAGCCTGTTGCACGTGTATTCAAACAAAGTGGATCTCGGAACAACGGTTCGCCTCTGATAAGAGCTTTAAATAAATGTTACGGCCAGCCGATAAACATAAAAAGAGGAGAACGCCTTGCCATGGTGCAGTTCGAAGGATAGATCGTTTATCTTGGACCGCGGCCAACGGTCTACATTTTCCGGATAGAAAATTTCGCGGATTCTCGCGGACTCGCTCGCGAGATTTTCGGCGAGCGTCTACGCGAAATTCCATTCTGGACATTGGGTAACTGTAGGTACAGTCAATTCTCGCTAATTCGAGCTCAAAATGTGCATAGAAATGGACAATTTGGTCAGAGGAGATTATTCGAGCTTCGAGGCTCGTTTTTATTGTTACCGATTGTCAACAACTACGAAAACAAGACTGCGGACGTTTCGATTACTGTGTTACGGCGGTTTTCGGCGATCTGTGCTGCGCACAGTGTGGCGCGCATACATAGGGTAAGGGTAGGTATTGCTGCAGTTTCTCAACGAAGACGAACTTCGACAGAGAAAATAAGACCTTTCACGCCAATAAATTGACAGCTTGTGCTATACCTATTATTCTTTAACTTGAATATTTACTTTTCGCAAAATATTGGATCTCCGAAAGCACGATTTTTGTTAAAAAGCGTAATGTAAAGAAACCACACGTGTGCATATGTTCCATGCATATATTACAAATTATGTGGACGTTTCGATTATTACATGACAAATATTGCGGACGTTTCCGATTCCCACGTGTCAAATACCGTGGACGTTTCGATTACTGCGTTACGCTGGAATGTTATATTTCCGAGATATTTGTGCAACAGAGTTTCCTCCACGAATTTCTTGCAAAGCTAACGCCACGTTTTCCTTAGGGTAGCATAACCTTACATTTTTTTCTTTTCTCTACATCGTTTGATATTTTCTGTTCTCTTTCCTTCGACTTCTTCCTTTGGACTTTTCCTATTTTCTTTTAAATGTACACGCGCAGCTACGATTTCTAGGATCAAGATATTCTCACTGCAGCACTTTGCAAATTAGGTATAGGTGCTCTATGATCGAGCATGTTCGCACCGGCTCATCGTGAACTGCGCCGTATAGGTTAAGGCACGCGCCAAATATGTGCTGTGTTAGACAATAATATTTGAGGCTAAACGATAGCGACAGTGTGCGTCGATTTTTGATCAAAGTGACGATTACTTTATCTAAAAATAACGCTAAAACGAATAGCTCATTATTAATTACTAAAATATAAATGCCTTTCGAATCAGCGTTCGCAACTGCCGTTGCGAGTATTTCATAATACTCGACGTTTTCATGAGCTTTCGAATATCGAAAAGTCAATAAATGAATTAAAACTGCGATTGTAAAAACTGATTTTATCAGCTTGTCGGAGACACGCGTAAAATCGAGACGATCGTTTTCGACACTATTTCGTCACTATGAAATATTTGATTTTAACACATTTACGAAATAGTACGATACAGTAATGTCTCCCTTTCTGATGCTCAGATTGTTCACTAAAATGGACAATTTGGGAAGAGGAGATACGATTGATCGCTGTCTCTTATACACATCTAGATGTGTATAAGAGACAGTGCTCAGATTGTTCACTAAAATGGACAATTTGGGAAGAGGAGATACGATTGATCGAGCCTCGCGACTCGTTTTTATAATTGTGAACAATTTATAACTATAAAAATAAACCGCCAGGCTCGAATAATCGTATCTCCTCTTCCCAAATTGTCCATTTCTGTGTGCAATCTGGGCGTCAATTAGAGAGACATTATTGTAAAAATTATGAAATAATCGAATCTCTTTGTGCTTCCCGAATAATATGAATTGACCGACGACAATCTTCGCCGCCGTTCTCGGCCAATAGTGATTGAGCGCCGCGGCAGTGGAGCAGCTAAATAAATGTGGGGGTGGGGAGAATATAAGCGTAAAGGCGCCTTCTTATCGCGCGAGGACTATACGTTGTTCTGCATACAGTAATGTCTCCCTTATTGACGCTCAGCCTTGCGGCTCGTTTTTATAATTGTGGACAATTTATAACTATAAAAATAAACCGCGAGGCTCGAATAATTGTATCTCCTCTTCCCAAATTGTCCATTTTTGTGCGCAATCTGGGCGTCAATTAGAGAGACATTACTGTATTCGGGGCGTCCGCAGTAATACCCACGCTTACCCCAATGCACGTTCCAGTTCCGCTGGCCCTGACCGTCCCCGTCACTGTGACGGTGAAAATGGAACGACGCGACCGACGGTTTCTCTCTACGATCGCGAACGTCAACGAAGCACAGAGGCACGCGCAGGTGACCCATATTTACCTCGTCGTCGTCGACGCGTAGGTGACCGACGGAACGCGACGCGCGGCGGATCCGTCGTCGTTTCGAAGCGCGGAAAAAAATGCTATTCGAACGAGCCGACACACTGTTTGTTTCTCGTGTTTGACAACGGGTGCAGCGGTCCGACGACCCTGGATCGAGCCGACTGAGACAGAATGAGTCAAAATGACTGGTTTCTGGTTCTTTTTTCTTTCACGTTATCTTCGTTGAAGTACGCGTTATAATATAAAAAATGGTTGACAGTTTAAATATATCCAATATCGTCGTTATTATGAAACAGTGCACGTTTGTCACGTTCGCGGCTCGGTGGTACTAGCATTAATATAATTGATATAATATAATTTATTATATGTATATTTTTTAATTTTGTATTTATATAATTATATAATGTAGTATAATAAGCTATTATAACTATATATTATTAATTATATTATAATATTTATTATAATATATTATTAATTATATTATAATATTTATTATAATATATTATTAATTATATTATAATATTTATTATAATATATTAATTATAATATATTATGGTATTGTAGTATATTATAGTATATTGACGAGGAAACTGCGTGTCGTCGGGTGCAGCTTATTCTAATCAGCGGAAAGCTTGGCCAATTTCTTAGTCGCGCGCCGGTTCCGATCGAACGGATCATTGTTAACCCTTTTCTCTATAACAACGTCTGAGAGACATGGTCAGATAATCTGACCAGAAACGATTATCACGTCTGAGAGACGTGGTAAAAAGATCGGGCCAGAAACGATTATCACGTCAGAGAGACGTGGTAAAAAAATCAGGCCAGAAACGATTATCACGTCAGAGAGACGTGGTAAAAAGATCGGGCTAGAAATGAGAGCTGCGATGCGTCAGTCGGGCCAAATATAAACATAACTAGTTAGGCTCGCGTTAGACTAGGGGATACGTGTTCTGTGGTTTTATGTTTTTCATCATTTAATTGCTTTATTAACAGCTAAAGGAGGTAGCGTAGGAACCAGCTTGACGTGTGCTGCGTTTTTTGCGATCTTTAATTGTTTACAGCTTGTACAAAGGTCAACCGATTTCGGTGAAATTTTTACCCAGCATAAAACTCGCCGAGATCTACGAAACGAATTTTTTCAAATTTTCGGTTCAGTCTCAGACAAAAAAGTAAATTTATTTATTTCCTTTTATTTCCTAAGCAATAAAAACAAGTCTTTAAAAACAGCATTCTCTAATTACGGTCTAGTAAACTGGTCGCTCTATAGTCCAAAAAAACTTCAAGTCGTTCAATCCAGTTCTAAAAAAGTTATCGCGTCTCGAAGAGTGTCCGAATATTGACGGGAGTCGCTGTATTTACATTCCCGTAAGAAGTTCGCGATTGGCGCAACAACTTCAGACGTTACGCTTGACCTTGAAAGGGTGCTCGACGCGTGACGCGATCTTGTTTGTTGTTCACGGCACGCGTTTTCGAAGCTTTAAATCGCAGGGCAAAGGGCTAAAATCGTATCTCGGACTTACATGCGCCGATTTCAAGGTGTAGGCGACTCTCCGACGTGCGGCCATGGACTGACACACCGGCGCCGTTTTTAACGGAGGTGGCCGTCGCGTCGCGTCGCCGACGGGCCGCGCCCCTCGCGCCGCTCATTACCAGGCTCCGAGGATCGCGCGCCGCGGTCTTTCTTTCGCCGTCGGATTACAGCGACTCGCGCGCGCGGTGCTTGATCCGACTCGGCTCGCTTCGATTCCGCGGACGACGACCGAATTTGCCGCGCGTTTCATTGCTTTAACCCGATTGCTGCATCGGACAGACGTGTGTACGCGTATCGGACGGGAAACGTCCAAGGACACACGTGTCGATCGAGAGAGCCCGGCCGCGAGGAGGAACGGTGCCAAGTGGCTGGATATTATTCGTCAACGACGCGGGACACTTCGAAACGTTCCGCGGCCGAAAGGAACGGTTCCGACATAACCTTAGATGCGGTGACGTACGCTGACAGCTACGGTGAATTCTTCTTAATCGATTCGCGGCTCGTACACGAAAATCAACAATTTGAGAAGAGAAGGCTATAATGATCGTATCTCCTCTTCCCAGATTATACACAATTTACATAAATTTTAAGGTAAAAATGTCCGAAGATCGGTCGAAAGAAATACTGCCGAACGATTCGAAACTATTACAGTAATAATATGTACAGGGTGTCCCAAAAATGTCTCGCAATCCGAAAGTGGCGGGTTCCTCGGGTCATTTGAAGTAACTTTTTTCTTTACAAAAATTTTCTCCGAGGCACCGTTAACGAGTTATTAACGGAAAACTGTGACCAATAAGAGGCGAGCTCGGCAGGCGCGAGGCGACCGAGTCAATGAGCAGAACTGGGCTTCGTGCGCTGGTTGGCTGGGCCGCCTCGCGTCAGCCGTACTCGATTCTTATTGGTCACTGTTTTTCGTTAATAACTCGTTAACGGTGCCTCGGAGATCATTTTTGTAAAGGAAGAAGTTGGTTCAAATGATCCGAGGAACCCGCCATTTCCGGATTGCGAGACATTTTTGGGACATTTTATATATTATTAATGTAATAATATATAAATATATATATATATATATATATATATATATATATATATATATATATTTATATATTATTACTGTAATATATAATATTACTTTCAGCACGAGAAAACTTGCTCCGCTGTATCAATTAATTGCGCCGACGTAATGATAGTTTGTCGCCGATATTTACCGAGATTCGCTTGACTTTCGAGGTTAAAAAATGTCCGCAGATCGGTCGAAAGAAATACTGCTGAACGAAAAAAATTTATTCCACGAAAACTTCCTAACGATTTGTTCGAAGCAAAAAGACCCGAACTTTGTTATTTCCGCGGGAATGTTTTATAGTCGCTGTCGTACTTGCCGTTGATGGCATAGAGGCTCCTTTAGCCTGGTCCGCAGGAGCCGACCTAGTCGAACCATTCTGCCGACCTCCAGGAGCAGCTTCTCGCGGTCCCCCAAGATGTCTCTTATCTCTGCTCGGTCTCGAGATTCCGCTACTAGATCGTCCGTCTTCACCGAGCGACGCAGGCATCCCACCGCCTCGATTAGGTCGCGCAGCTTCGAACAGTGCTTTTGGACAAATACAGTGACTCGGATTTAATATTCGGACAACTTTTCAGGTTCAACGGAGTTAATTGAATTTTTTAAATGATAGGACTAGTCTACTAGACGATAGCTGGAAGATTGTTTTCAAAAACTCTGACGATTTATCGAAGTTTTGTCAAAATTGATCGTTGTTATTTCAATATGTTTTCTTGTGGAATGAAAATAACAGAATAGTCACTTAGAATATAGAATATAGAATATAGAATGTAGAATGTAGAAGGTAAATTGTAGAGGGTAGAATGTAGAATGTAGAATGTAGAGGGTAAAATGTAGAGAGTAGAATGTAGAATGTAGAAGGTAAAATGTAGAGGGTAGAATGTAGAATGTAGAAGGTAAAATGTAAAGGGTGTAATGTAGAATGTAGAAGGTAAAATGTAGAGGGTAGAATGTAGAATATAGAGTGTAGAATTTAGCATATGGAATATAAAATATGGAATATAGAATATGTAATATAGAATATGTAATATAGAATATGGAATATAGAATATGGAACATAGAATATAGAATATGGAATATACAATATAGAATATAGAATATAGAATATAAAATATGGAATATAAAATATGGAATATGGAATGTGGAATATGGAATGTGGAATATGGAATGTGGAATATAGAATATAGAATATAAAATATAGGATTTGGAATATAGATTACAAAATATAGAATATGTAATATAGAATATAGATTACAAAATATAGAATATGGAATATAGAATATAGATTACAAAATATAGAATATG